AACACCGCGAATGAATTAAATGCTGATTATGCTTCGACTTTAATTCCTATGGGCAGCGGTATATGAATGTATCATAAACCGCTGCCCATAGGAATCATACATATCATTCAAGAAGAAGCAACATTTATAAATCCTCCGAAATGTCAGGCCAACGTAGTTACTGTACTAAGAAGCAACATTGGCAACATTTTGCAAAAGTTTACTTAAAACTATATCGATATCGGAGCATGCAACGTTCTCGAACAACGCCTTTGTTACTTCGGTCGAAATTTCGCGGCGGAACAAAACGCCGCGCATTCGTATTGCAACGGCGGAATATTGCGAACATCGAGTGCTCCACGAGCGCTGCGAAAACCGTGCCTCAGCACAACAGTTGACTCTGAGCACACAAATGCGCACACACACGCGCGCACGCAAACGAACGCGCCGCGCCGTGAACTCACTACAATAACAGCGGGAGGGGGCGCGGTGGGGTGGGGTGTCAGCGTTCATTGTGACGAGACGATGCAGTTTGCACCGCGGCCTCCTCCAACCTTCAACCGACTCGCGCCCGTGTTCTTGGGAATCGTTTTAAATTCAAGAGCCGCAGTGTGCCCCAATCGCAAAATTGCACCTTACCACCCATTAATAAAGTTCAAATTACTATGAAGCGAACTCTATAAGTCATACTGAAAACGGATACCGCTTCGAAGTTTTCGTCAGATTTAGCACTCTAACACCGCCAGCTAAAGCTTGAAATCGTATGGTCGATGCAAAAATGGCAGCTGTTCTCGGTGTGAGTGCGGAGGTGAGAAATACATTAGTGGTACCGTTTTCCATTGGTCGTTGCTCCTGTGTTGATATTAAGCGGTCCACGTGGACTGCTCCGTGGTTACTTGTCTCGTTTTTTTCGACGGGTGGCTCGCTATCCGTCCCATTCTAATCTACAACGAAACGTGGAATGTCATGTCCGGAGTTGTTCAGAAAGTCGTGAGCGTGCATCGTGCCCCGAGCTTTGTGCCAGCGACATAAGGATATACATCTGAGATCTCAACTCGTAAAATAAAATTGAGCGTCATTGTCTTATGGTTTAATTTCAAGTGGTGCGTACGGGCGGATATGCTATAAGTTTATCGGATATCGATAAGCATTTTTAAGTCAATTAAGGTTGTAAGCTAAAAGCGGTTGTTGCTACATTTAAATTATCGGTCGGCATTCAAATAACGCCATTTTTTCGTGTCGGCACGATTTTATTTATAGGTGTGTTGCGTCGTGTATAAAAACATAACGTCGCCCACGTTATGTTTTATACTCGATAATGCGTATCAAATATGGGCCATTCGTTCAATTAGTTACTTTAGCGACAGCTACGAATTTCTAAATATTTCATAATTATGATTATTTTGTGTATGTTAGTTGCTACAATTTGACAGTTTAATTAAGCAACTTAAATCCTGACCATTCTCAAAACGTGAGACATAGAATAAGTTTTCATTTGAAAAATTGCTATAACTACAATATTTCTTGAGGTATTTAAACAATAAAATCAATTAAACATCATTCCTTTAGATGACATTACTAATCTATGAGCAGTTTTATATTAGGTACTTATAAAAGATTTCTGTGTCTCTGTTCATTATAACTGATTTATCTTGACCTACCTAAACCGATCGCTTTCGCAAAATTACAGCTTTTAATTCAAAAATTCCCGTGTGGCCCTCTGGTGACACTATTTAAAAACTTATAACCCCTTAGAAAGCTTATGGTCCTAATTACTACCTATAGATGGAGCTTTTTAAAAAAAAAATATTAAATTTGCCGTTATAATTCGGTGTCTGGGCGCACGCCTTTAATCGAGTAACCTGAGTTCGATCCCCGGTGCACCAATGAAACTGCTAAAATATCGTGCTCGGCGGTGAAGAAAAACGTCGTGAAAAAACCTACATAATTTCGAAATAATAAAAAAAAAATATTTCGAAAATATGTGAAGTCCACCAACTCGCAGTGGGGCCGCATGGTGGACTATGCCCTGATACCCTCTTTACAGAGGAGGTCTTTGCCCAGCAGTGGGATGTTTATAGGCTATATCTAAACTTTTTACCCGTTAAAAATAATGTATCCTTCGCTGTATTTATACAGATGAAACAAATAATCATTAAAATATATTCAACTTTACTTTATAACTAACACTTGGGTACACAGATGTAACTTTGTACTACATACGTACCAAGGACACGGCGCAAAGTTACATTGTTTATGGAAAGGATATTAAGAAAATTTGTAAGTACCTACTTTCTGAAAAATCAGTAAAATCTAAAAGTAAACAATTTTTAAATTTTTTTAAAAAAATTAACGAACCGACACAGAGCAATCCCACTCGGATATTACCTATCCAGTTCGCTAGGAAGGAAAAAAATAATCACGAAAGCTTTGCGGCAGTTTCGCTCCCGCCTTAGCTTTCGTGATAATTTTTTGTTGATATTAGCTTGTTCATTATTTCACTTGTGATTTTTCTTTATCGAATAAAAAAATTTTTTAGGTCGAAAAACACCCGCCACAAATGAAAAAAAATTACCGAAATTATTTGCAGTGAAATCTTGCAAAAACTACTCATAAAAGAAAAGATAAGACTAGGAAGTAACACTGTGGTAGGGCCACGCAAGTCTATGCTGTGAAAATGGATAGTTTTTTTTTTTTTTTTTTATGCGAAAAGTTGTCAAACGAGCAGACGGTTCAACTGATGTTAAGTGAATACCGCCGCCCATGGACATCTGCTACACTCCAGGGTTACAGATGCGTTGACAACCTTTTGAAAATTGGGCTCCGGTTACCTCACTCACCAGACGAAACGCGAAAGTATTTGTCATACTTCCACTTTACGCCGGTCTTCTGTGAGGTCGTGGTACTTACCCGGACGGGCCTGCCCATTCGTGCAACAGCCGAAGCTGCTGCGTGGCCCTACCACCTGTAATGGGTTCCGTTCGGACATCACGACATCACGCACATCCACGACCTCACAGAAGACGCGCGTGAAACCGTGAAGTAGAAACATTATACTTCTGCTTTTCGTCTGGTATCTTGTATTAACTGATGTTTTTGCTTTCAGTTCCGAGACTATTATAGCTTCATCTGACGCAGAACCGGTGGGCTAGCCAGAACCCACGGGTTTGGGTCCTCCACTATGGTATTTCATGAATGGGCCGTCGAAGTTGCGGTTCGGACTGGGACCCCGATGGCCGTCGACTGTGTTTTTAGCTAATCGGTGGCTGGGGGCGATGAGAACCGCCCTGGAACGCGGGTGTACCGCCGTTCTCGGAGGCGAGGGCGAACTATTTTGTTTGTTGTTACACTAGCTGTGGGTGTAGTGTTATCCAGCGGGACCCCCGACGGTGCGTCTAAACTAGCGACCCGCCCCTGATTCGCACGGGTGCAATGTAAATATTGAATTTCTCGCCTTTTCTCTACTATACTATATATTATAAACCTTCCGCTTGAATCACTCTATATATTCCTGAAAACCGAATAAAAATCCGTTGCGTAGTTTATAATAGTAGTAATAATAATAAGTAAAATATCTTAACAATATTTATTTAAATCCCTTTCATTTTGGAGAAGGAAAACAGCGTGAGGAAACCTGCACATTTTCGTAATAATAATGAAAGGAAAAATGTTAAGTGGGGTCGCATGGTGGAGTCTGCCCTAATACTAAATGTATCTTAATAATTAAACCTAATACTAAAAATATCTGTACCTCTGAGGCATACAGTAGTAACTCCACAATTTTCTTTAATTATTTTTCTTACATCATTAAAATCATATTTTGTCATAAGACTTACATATAAGGAATTCGATATATCGAAAATAGTATACCAGTTCAATTAGAGAATGCAATGAACCTCATTCTCTAGTTGGTAAAAGAACATCTTGTTATTATATTCACAGTTAAATACAGGGTTGTTATTTGGAGATATGCTTTCCAAAATCGTTAACGTTTTTCAATTGAACTGAGGGCTACCTTGACTGCGCGGCGTTCGCATAAAAGACGAATAGACGAGAAAATTAAAAAATCTTGTAACTCCAAATTCGAGTATGTCGAGGTAGCGTAAGTCGGTGTATTACTGTAGTGGTAAGTTCTTTAAGATTCTGTTTTATTTTCATTGCTAATTACAGATTAAATTTAAACGTGAGTTTATAATGTAAAATGTCGAAAACTTATCGGTAGTTCCAGGAATGCATTATATACCATAATGAATTCGTATAAACCAGGATTTTAACATCAAAATCGAATAGTTTCATTTTCGATAAAAGTACATAATCTTCAAAAAATAAACAGATCACTTAATTGAGATTCATTAATCATTGCCACATCACCACTATTATGTATTTATTATTCTAAGACTGTTGAAGTTGGCTCAAGAATGAACTATGTGTTTTATTATTATTTAAATTTTTGATTACCTCTCAATACAGGTACTAAATATGCTTTATAATTCCACCATGCTTTATAATTTCATACCATTCAATCTTCTATAATTCTCTCATTACACAACACCTTTCCACTTTACCCACATTACATAAATATTGGATTGTATCAGCATTTGATTAGCTAATAAAAATTAACTGTAAATAAACCTTCACCATCATATTTGAATTCATTTTAGAAAACCGAAGTACAGGTATTGATAATATATATCAAATTTTAATATCTACAACAATACTAGCAACATATCGATAATTTTTAATTATTGTATTGTATCACAATAAACCCATGTCTGATAAGAAGCAATTCTTGAGATCCCATAAATAATTATGAGACAAAGTTTCTAACTACCAATAAAAATTACACCAGTCTAAAAGTAATCATATCATGACACATATTTTTATCAGATTTTACCGTATAAAAACATAATGCTTAAACTCAAACTACATACTTCCCTATTACCCTGTACTTTTAATAACATTACAATAACCAAAGCAGTAGAAATTTCTACTTTAAAAACTTAAACAAGTACATATACCTAGATAACATTTGTTAATAGTGCTAAAATAGAATTTATTTGCTCTTGTAACTTCTGTCCATTTTTTCCATTGTTTATAACAAGATCCCACTCATTGTAGTCATCTAAATCACATTCTGATGCAGTATCATCTACTCCAACTTGAAAATGGAACCCTCTACTTTTTCTTGTTTCTTCGTCTGCTGTGATTCTAATAATTTTCAGAAGATCACTGTAGGTTTCCTTGAACCATTTTATATCTGTTTTACGTCTTATGTCACTTACTATCCATGCTGGTTTATCTGCAGCTGCAAAATGTTTAATTATTGAGTTAAGTGTCTATGTATAATATTGACAATATTTATGGGACAATGTGTGTTAAATAAGTTTCATAATAAAAGTATATTAGTACTACTGGATACAACTTTGTCCTCAAAAGGCTTATTAAATATTTAAGACAGAGTTTTGCAAATAAATTAAGTGATCATCACTGAGTGTGGCAGTAGGATAGAATTCTGTAAAACTAAATACAGAATTATATTAAAATGAGGGTTGCAAGGAATCCCGATAACCGTTGGGGAAGAAAGGTTCTCGAGTGGCAGCCTCGTACTGGCCATCGCAGTGTAGGACGACCTCCCACTAGATGGAGTTACGGCCTGTGCAAATGTGCGGGAAGTCGATGGACGCAGGTGGCTCAGGATCATACTTCGTGGCAGTCTATGGGGCGAGGCCTATGTTCAGCAGTGGACTCAAACAGGCTGAAAATGATGCTGATGATGATGATGAGGGTTGCAAATTATCAACATAATTATGTTCAGGGATTAACTATTTCTAATTATATATGCTCTGTTAATTATCTTTTGTCTGGTGATTAGGTAGCCAGGGCCCACTTTATTATAATGTGGCAACACATCTGCAACTCTATGAATGTTGCAAATGTCCATGGGGGTGGTTGTCTCTTGTCATCAGGTGAACCACCAGCTTGCATGCTACCTTCTAACATAAAAATGCAATACAATTAACTTAGATTATCTGACTGGTGTTATGTAACTAAATAGCTCATCATTGTTATTTTATGTATATTTTATATGCATTTAGTATGCTTAATTTAAGTCAGTATGCAGTACGCCTCCATCAAATCAATGACAAACCAATTGTTATTATCGCATTTTCAATAATCATGTTAAGCAGTAATTAGTGCTTTTTACAATATTTTTTACCATTTTTATATGTTGTGTTTACCATTTTATTATGTGAAATTTGTAAAGACTTTTATAATTTATTTAAAACCAGAATATCTAAAATTCTCTCTATGTATTACCATAAACCACAAGAAGGAGACTTTAATCGCCAACAGGCAACTTCTTCATGGTCCTTTGAGCCAGATATTAAATAATGTTAAATCTATTATTATGTTATACTAGCGACCCTCCCCGGCTTCACACGGGTGCAATGTATTACCACACTTACAGTACTGCATGTAAAGGTAGTAAGCCAATTAACTACTACATTCACAGTGTACGTCTTTTTATTTTATGTGGTTTTTCAAATATATAAACAAAAACACAATAAACATTTTGAAACCTAGTGTACGCGATCCCAGAATCGCAAATTACAATATTGTCCGCCAGGACCGGTTAGCAAACCGTCTGGGAGGCACATTAATTTATTATAAACGGTCCTTGCACTGTTGCCCGCTCGACATTCCAGAGCTAAGTCAAATAGAGGCATCCGCGTGTAGGTTAGCGCTCACCGGCCACAGGCCGCTTGTACTAGTCTCAGCCTACCTCTCGGGGAATAAAACCTTACTTCAAAGCGACCTAGATACGCTTCTTAACTTAGGCCCTTCCGTGATAATTGCAGGAGATCTAAACTGCAAACACGGCTCATGGGACACCAACAGCATCCCAAATAACAACGGAAAGCATCTCTTTAGCTTATCCGATAACCTAAACTTTAGCATAGTCGCTCCCGCGACTCCCACTAGGTATCCTACGGTGGACAACTACCAACACGCGTCACCGAGTGTCCTAGACATCATGTTATTCAGGGAGGTCTCGCTCGACATCGAGTCGATAGAGACAATCCATGAACTAGACTCAGACCACAGGCCCGTCCTGTGTAAACTGGGCCAGAACGCCGGCGCGGTCCCTCCGACCAAATCCGTAGTGGACTGGCATCGTCTTGAGGTCAAACTCAAGGCCTTGGACCCCCAGGACTTAGTGGACTTACCCGAGACGATAGCTACGTTCGATGACGCAAATCGAGCGATAGCGAGTCTCCGAGAAACTATTACTTCCGCAGTCACAGACTCGGAACGGACGGTGAAACTGTCGGGCGACCGACGGTTTAACTTTCCGCCCGACCTAAGACTGCTAATTAGACAGAAAAATGCAGCCAAACGCGCCTTCGACCGATACCGATCGGAATCGAACTGAACTCTACTTCGACGCCTTCAGCTAGAAGTCAAAGATCGTGTATCGGAACACCGACACACAACGTGGGACACTCTCCTAGAGAACATCGAGCCATCGCAAACCGCCTACTGGCGGTTGGCCCGCAGTCTGAAAGCAGACCCCCGCGAATCTCTACCGCCGTTAGTTAGACCTAGTAGCGCTTCAGTAGCCCTAGATGACTCCGAAAAAGCCGAATGCCTTGCGGACAACCTAGAGCAGCAATGTACGCCATCGCGCGAACACACCGATTCAGTCCACCTAACGGAGGTGGACCACGTAATTGAGACTAGGGCTGCGCTTCCACCGGAAGGTGAACCTTTAAATTCAGTGACCCCCGAAGAGGTCCAAGATATTATTAAAAATTTAAAACCAAAATCCGCCCCGGGCCCAGATAATATGAGTAATAAAATTCTCAAAGCTCTCCCTGGGCCGCTTATCTGTTTACTGGCGACCATTTTCAATACCCTTCTCTCCAGTTGCTCCTTTCCGGACGACTGGAAGCAAGCCACGGTTATCGGCATTCGCAAGCCGAATAAACCAGCTAATCAGCCCTCTAGCTATCGTCCCATCAGCCTCCTCAGTTGCCTGGGGAAGCTCTACGAGCGGCTCTTATTAAACAGGCTCAAAGAGCACGTGTTTTCCAACGGCCTTCTGCCGACGGAACAATTCGGCTTTCGAGCTAGACACTCATGTCCCGACCAGTTATACCGCCTAACGGAGCACATCCTAAAAGGCCTAAACCACCCCAAACAATTGAATCGCTCTTTTCGATATCGAGTCGAGGGCACCTCTCCACAAGCCGCCGCCTCACGGCCGACGTACCACAAGGCTCCTGCCTCTCACCTTTGCTCTTTACGCTCTACACGAGCGATATACCCAAAGACCCCCACGTCAATCTCGCGCTTTTCGCGGATGACACCGCGCTCTTTTATTCAGACCGCAACCTTAGAATACTAACCACTCGACTCCAAAGCGCCGCTGACCGCCTCGGCGATTGGTTCCGCAAATGGAGAATAGAAATAAATCCCGAAAAGAGTGTGGCGATTCACTTCACACGAAGTACCTACCCGTCACATCTTTATAATGGCCCTCGCCAATGCAGAAAGTTGGGGCAAATATCCCTTTATGGCCAACCGCTCCCCTGGGAGAAAAAGGTCAAATACTTAGGAGTCACTTTCGACTCGCGTATGTCATTTACTACGCACATTAATAACGTTCGTAATAGAGCCGCGTTCGTCTCCGGCCGGCTACACAATTTAACTAATGCTAAAAGTAAAATGCCCTTAAGGCAAATTATTATTATTATATAAGACCTGCGTACGACCTATTATGTCCTACGCATGTATGATCTTCGCCCACACGCACCCTACTCGCTTGTACAAGTTGCAAATAGTACAAAATAAGTTTATCCGCCGCGCAACCGGTGCGCAGTGGAATCAGCGCAACGTCGACCTGCACAGCGATTGCAGACTCCCGACGATTCGCGCACATTTTAAAGATTTGACAAAACGGTTCTTCGATAGAGTCCAGCATCATCCCAACCCTCTGGTGGTAAGCGCAGCAAACTACCAACCGGACACTAACGCGAACGTAAACAAGCGTCGCCCGCGAAACGTCCTCATCGACCCGGCCGACGAAGAGGATTTAGATACGATGGACCCACCGCCGGGGGTCCCGCCGGATAACACTACACCCACAGTTAGTGTAACAACAATCACACCACTTCGCCCTCGCCTCCGAGCACGGCGAGACCCACACAACGCGTACACAAGGTACACCCGCGTTCCGGGGCGGTTTTCACCGCTCCCAGCCACCAATTAGGTAAATGCACAGTCGACGGCCGTCGGGGTCTCGGTCCGAACCGCGACCTCGACGGCCCTTAGATGACACACCATAATTAAACGCACGCATGAGCACATGCGCGACCCTACCCATAGCGGAGGGTCCAAACCCGTGGGTTCTGGCTAGCCCACCGGTTCTGCGTCCGATGAAGCTTTAATAGTCTCGGGATTGAAAGCAAAAACATCAGTTAATACAAGATACAAGATACAATAAACATTGAGTACAGTTAAAGCAGTCCAATCAATAACACTTTGTGTCTGCTTAGTATGTGATTTTACAAGGCTCCACAGTCAAAACTTTTAGAATAGAAACATTTAGAAAATTAACTTTTAATTATAAGTAACAAAATTAATAATTGTGGTTAAGAGTTCTGTTCTATTCTTTTTAAACTAAAAACAAATCAATGTTACATCTGTATAAGATGAGTTGTTATACAGTTCTATAATAAAAATTTCCAACATTCAATATGCTTCACATATAACATGATTTTCTCAAATTATAACTTATCAATTCAATACGGTTTTGTAATATAAAAAATTGCAACATTGAGCTTGCTACTATAGAGACATATTATATTACATAAATTTACCGTCTTGACATGCTGCTTTACAGAAGCAACCATAATCTTGATCTCTCTTTTCTTCACTCCACTTGATCATCTTCAGACGATATTGTTCCTTATATTTACTGTCACTTAAAAGCTCATTTAAATTTAAATTGTTTTCTTTGGCCCAATGACTTTTGATTGGCTGTGATATTTTGATAACTTCACATTTTTCTGATAACCTGGAAATTCATTAAAACGGATTTAAGATTATTTTTTTTTATGTTAAAAGTTGTCATATGAGCAAGGGGCCGCCTAATCTTAAGTGATTACTGCCACCCATGTATATTTACAACACCTGACAAGCCTGCCCATTCGTGCAACAGCTGAAGCCGGTGCATGACTCTACCACAGCACAACAATTTAATTATATTATAGCATAGTACACAACAAAATGTTTAAATGGGACATTTCATATAATTAAAATGTGTATCATATATATTCAATCAAATTCAATAAAAAGGAAATTTTATAAATAAGCAATTGTAAGAATTCAAATAATAATGTATAACACAAATGTAAAGAATAAGTTTTCTATATTTATCATCCTTCCACATGTAAAAATAAACTATGTTAGACACCAACTTACACTTTTTGCAAATGATCTGTCAAATAATCTTTCCCTGATTTCCTTTTGCCACTAAATAGTAATATAACTTTAGGCATATTTAGTTGAAATTAAAACAATACTACTTATTATATATAATATAATCGCGTTACTGACAACAACTGAATAAAGTTAAATTCATACGCAATTATGCATTGTAAATAGTTAACTCGTTTTATAACTATACTATGTTCAGAGTTTACACTTTCAGAATTTAAAGTTAGTTTCAAAATTCAAATGTTAACTAAACAGTACCGATATAAACAGTTGATAGGTACGGTACTAGATAGACGATAACGAGACAAACTGTCAGGCTGACATTTAGAGATGGACGTATTTACGTTACCAGGTATTGATACCAGGTATTTCCTTGTAAGTATACCAACCAGGTATCGACCCGATAAACTTGCAAGACTTGAAAGTATTTTTCCTTTAAAGTATACGAGCCCTTCAAAGTAATTATTACTACGTCGATCGAACTCGAACGTGGAACGAATCGAATGCAGTCATACCAACTGTTCAAAAGTAATACTCCTAAAGCAATTCAAAAACCCACTAAAATTTATTAAATTCAAACAACAATTTCTAAATTTAAAATAACGATTTTTTATATTATAGGTAAAGGAAAAATAATTGTCTGATAAAATAAACCATTTCATTCAAAATGGTCAAGGACATTAAAAATAATATAATTCATTTGAAATGAATATGTTAAGAATAAAATCGAAACAATATAAAAAAAAATTATGATTAGAATACATAAAATATTCATATCAGATACATAGGATTTGGCCTTACGTCGTCCAAAGCAACACAGCACTGTAAAATGTAATTTTATTTTTTTAAATAAGTAGTTTTATTCGAAAATGTGATCAAATTTAACTCCTAATAAAATATTCCCGTAAAAATTTACCCTCCAAAAAACTTCCATTCCACATTTTTTATTCCTAAATTTAGAAAGAAAATTCCTAAGTCTGCATGGCGCACGGCGCACGCCCAGGTACTCTCACTTTATTAAATAACTTCTTTGTATATATATAAGGTTCAGATAGTCCTTAAACGTAAAGTAAAATACTTTCAAAGTATTTTACGTTTTGATTGAAATATTTTGAATCGTATGTATACAGCAACAAGGTAAATTTGCAAGGAAACAAGTGTTCGACTCGTTGCGTTGAACAGAAAATGCTTTGAAAGTATATGATTTGAAAGTATATGAGTTGATACCTGGTTTCTGTACCTGGTATGAGAAGGTGGAAGTACTTTTAAGACCTGGTACGCGATTTAGCAAGTATAACCCATCCCTACTGAGATTGTGAATTGTTAGTGTAGCATGAATTTTTTTTGCTTTTTTGGCCTTGAACACAAGGCTATCAGCCGAAATAAATTGAAACTTAATTACGTAGGAATTGCACAACATGTAAAGTTATTATTTTAATAGGTTTTTTTTTAAAATAAGGTCAACTTTACTACCATCAATTTCATTGAAAAGTGAAATACCCAAAAATTATGAAGAGCCATTTATTAAAGTTAGTGTAGGTAATTAAATTACAACACAATTTAATATTATTTCTGATACTTAAAATTTAGTCTTCAGTCTTCCAGTCTTCCAACATTAACGCTTCGTAAAAAATTAGATGACAAGCGAACGACCGTATGAAGATATCGCTATTAATAAAATACACTTCGTTTAAATCCATGGCTTGTTTTGTTCTCAATTGCTATTAGCAATAAATGTCGGAGTCGAGTTTGGCCCATATTATTTCTTAAATATTTTTTTATTATTTTTAATTTGCTAAATGATCTTTCAGCTGCTGCAGAAGTGACAGAAATTGTAAAGAATAATAACATTGCCCTAAATACTTCCTCTAGCACTCCATATTTGCTCATTATTTCCTTACATAATTGGTGAACAGTCCACGCTTGAGTTAGTTGAGGTAAAACTAGGTAGTAAATACTAATAAATTGAAGTGAAAAACTAGGGCCTATTATATCAGAATATTTTCTTTGGAATTCGTCACACTTTTGTAATAAAGTTGCGTCATCAACATGTAATAAAAATGTTTGTGTTAGAAAATCAAATATATGATTGACTGCACTCATATCAATAAAACTACCTGGAGGACCGAGTTTTACTCGGTTTTTTGGGTAAATAAATTAATTTCATAAAAAATAAATAAAATGTTCTGGTATAGAAAAAAAGTTAAAAAAAAAATAAGTGTGTGAGAAACCTAGCTAGATCGATTTTTCAACTTTACCAAATTTCATGAAAATTGCTGGAGCCGTTTTCGAGATTCCGATTATACATATATATATATATATATATATCATCATCATTTCAGCCTGTTTGAGTCCACTGCTGAACATAGGCCTCCCCCATAGACTGCCATGGAGTACGATCCTGAGCCACCTGCATCCATCGACTTCCCGCACATTTGCACAGGTCGTCACTCCATCTAGTGGGGGGTCGTCCTACACTGCGATGGCCAGTACGAGGCTGCCACTCGAGAACCTTTCTTCCCCAACGGTTATCGGTTCTACGAGCTATATGGCCGGCCCATCGCCACTTCATCTTGCTAATCCTCTGAGCTATGTCGGTTATCTTAGTTCTACTGCGGATGTCTTCGTTACGAACTCTATCACGCAGAGAAATACCGAGCATAGCCCGCTCCATAGCTCGCTGAGCAACTTTGAGCTTCCTCATACGGCCAGCAGTGAAGGACCACGTCTCAGTTCCGTAGGTCATGACTGGCAACACACATTGATTGAAGACTTTAGTCTTCAAACATTGAGGTATATTCGACGAGAAGATTTGCCGAAGTTTCCCAAACGCTGCCCATCCGAGTTGGATTCGCCGATTGACCTCTGCGTCGAAGTTGGACTTACCTAGCCGGACTAACTGTCCTAGGTAAACGTACTCGTCAACAACTTCGAGCTCAGTGCTCCCAACAACAACCGGTATAGGCGTGACATGGACATTAGACATGATCTTAGTCTTGTCCATGTTCATCTTAAGGCCCACCCGTTGGGAGACACTGTTGAGGTCATTGAGCATAGTTAACGTTCGCGTTTGTGTCGGGTTGGTAATTTGCTGCGCTTACCACCAGAGGGTTGGGATGATGTTCGGCTCTATCGAAGAACCGTTTGGTCAGGTCTTTAAAATATTCGCGAACGTCGGGGATCGCTGTGCAGATCGACGTTGCGTTGATACCACTGCGCACCGGTTGCACGGCGGATGAACTTATTTTGTACTATTTGCAGCTTGTACAAGCGAGTAGGGTGCGTGTGGGCGAAGATCATGCATGCGTAGGACATAATAGGTCGTACGCAGGTCTTGTATATTAATAATTTGTGCCTTAAGGGCATTTTACTTTTAGCGTTAGTTAAATTGTGTAGCCGGCCGGAGACGAACGCGGCTCTATTACGAACGTTATTAATGTGCGTAGTAAATGACATAAGCGAGTCGAAAGTGACTCCTAAGTTTTTGACCTTTTTCTACCAGGGGAGCGGTTGGCCATAAAGGGATATTTGCCCCAACTTTCTGCATTGGCGAGGGCCATTATAAAGATGTGACGGGTAATTCGAGACACTCTTTTCGGGATTTATTTCTATTCTCCATTTGCGGAACCAATCGCCGAGGCGGTCGGCGGCGCTTTGGAGTCTAGTGGTTAGTATTCTAAGGTTGCGATCTGAATGACCGTCTGAGTCCGGTTGTCGCTCGTGTAGAGCGTAAAGAGCAAAGGTGAGAGGCAGGAGCCTTGTGGTACGCCGGCCGTGAGGCGGCGGCTTGTAGAGAGGGTGCCCTCGACTCGATATCGAAAAGAGCGATTCAACAAAAAGGTCCGGATAGTGTGTACGAGCCTATCTGGCACTTTGAGCTTGTAAAGCAAGCCGTGGTGCCAGACCTTGTCGAATGCCTTTGCGACATCGAAGAAAAGAGCCCCTGTACTGATATATTTCGGGTGGTTTAGGCCTTTTAGGATGTGCTCCGTTAGGCGGTATAACTGGTCGGGACAAGAGTGTCTAGCTCGAAAGCCGAATTGTTCCGTCGGCAGAAGGCCGTTGGAAAATACGTGCTCTTTGAGCCTGTTTAATAAGAGCCGCTCGTAGAGCAACTGAAGAGTAGTGTGTTGAAAATGGTCTCCAGTAAACAGATAAGCGGCCCAGGAAGAGCTTTGAGAATTTTGTTACTGATTTTATCTGGGCCCGGGGCGGATTTCGGTTTAAATTTTTAATAATATCTTGGACCTCTTCGGGGGTCACTGAACTTAAAGGATCGCCTTCCGGTGGAAGCGCAGCCCTAGTCTCGATTACGCGGTCCACCTCCGTTAGGTGGACTGAATCGGTGTGTTCGCGCGATTGTTGCTCTAGGTTGTCCGCAAGGCATTCGGCTTTTTCGGAGTCATCTAGGGCTACTGAAGCGCTATTAAGTCTTATTAACGGCGGTAGAGATTCGCGGGGGTCTGCTTTCAGACTGCGGGCCAACCGCCAGTAGGCGATGTGCGATGGCTCGATGTCCTCTAGGAGAGTGTCCCACGTTGTATGTCGGTGTTCCGATACACGATCTTTGACTTCTAGCTGAAGGCGTCGAAGTAGGGTTCGGTTCGATTCCGATCGGTATCGGTCGAAGGCGCGTTTGGCTGCATTTTTCTGTCTAATTAGCAGTCTTAGGTCGGGCGGAAAGTTAAACCGTCGGTCGCCCGACAATTTCACCGTCTATTCCGAGTCTGTGACTGCGGAAGTAATGGTTTCTCGGAGACTTGCTATCTTTGATTTGCGTCATCGAACGTAGCTGTCGTCTCGGGTAGGTCGACTAAGTCCTGGGGGTCCAAGGCCTTGAGTTTGACCTCAAGACGATGCCAGTCCACTACGGATTTGGTCGCAGGGACCGTACCGGTGTTCTGGCCCAGTTTACACAGGAAGGGCCTGTGATCTGAATCTAGTTCATGGATTGTCTCTATCGACTCGATGTCGAGCGAGACCTCCTTGAATAACATGATATCTAGGATACTCGGTGTCGCATGTTGGTAGGTGTCCACCGTAGGATATCTTGTGGGAGTCACAGGAGCGATTATGCTGTAATTTAAATCGTCAGATAAGTTAAAGAGCTGCCTACCGTTGTTGTTAGCGTAAGTTTGGGGGTCCCATGAGCCGTGTTTGCAGTTTAGATCTCCTGCAATTATCACGGAAGGGCCTAAGTTAAGTAGCGTTTCTAAATCGCTTTGTAGAAGAGTTTTATTCCCCGAGAGGTAGGCTGAAACTAGTACAAGCGGCTTGTGGCCGGTGAGCGCTAACCTACACGCGGATGCCTCTATTTGACTTAGCCCTGGAATGTCGAGCGGGCAACAGTGCAAGGACTGTTTATAGTAAATTAATGTGCCTCCCAGACGGTTTGCTAACTGGTTGTGGCGGACAATGTTGTAATTTGCGATTCTGGGATCGCGTACACTAGATTTTAAGAATGTCTCTTGCACTAAAAAAATATCTACGTTATAATCGCGAAGGAATTCTGCGATTTCGTCCCTTTGACCCTTTATGCCGTTTGCGTTGAAATACGAAACAACCAGAGCCCGAGGTTTTGTTCTACCTGCGGTTGTACTTCCCATTAAAGTATTTTTATGGTTCTAATTAACGACGCGGCTTTATTGCGCGGACTATTATGTCTTTTTATTGTTAGCTCGTAAAAGCCCATAGGGCTTCTACAAGCGTTTTGTGTTGGCTGATTGCTCTAAGGCGTTCGTTGCCAGATGTGGCGGCCGCTATTTTAGTGGACAATACGGTGATTTCCTGCCTATTGATTCGGTCTAATAGGCTGCAGATGTTGGCGATTTGCGCGAACGGGTCGTCCTTGTTTTCCGCGAAAACCGGCGGAGTTGGCTGCACCTCTGGCCTAGGCGCCGTTTGATAGGCGGGCTGCGATTGTGCGATCGGTCGTGAGGCGACCGGGGGCGTGACTACCTGCGCGGCCACCTGGAGTTTCGCCCAGGCGTTTGTGACGGGTACGGGCGCGGGGACATATTTTACGGGCGCGGGTTTGGGTAGAGTGGATTTCGCGGGAGATTTTCTCGCGGGGGTATTCGGGGCCTTAACGCAGCCTCTATAACTAGCCGGGTGGCCGGTGGCGTGACAGTTTACGCATTCCGGTGGATCTGCGCAATCTTTCGGCGGCGTGCACTCGGTCGTGCCGTGGTCACCGGTGCATTTGACGCAGCTAGGGTAAGTGAAGCAATTGTTGGCCGTGTGGCCAAAATGTTGACAGTTGTGGCACTGAGCCACAACTCCTGACTTGCGCGGGGGCTCGATGTCTAAGTCACTGAGCCCACAGACCCCCTTCAGGTTGAAGATGGCCTTACCTTACGGGGTAGGGTCAAGTTCGACCATGACTATGTCCATAGGGACACGGGTGCGAGGGTGTCTGAGGCGACGCACGGCGTGCACAGGGTATCCCTGAGTGCGGATGTTGATTACAACCCGAAGTTTTCTTTCTTCGGGCAACGAGTAGACCACTTTATTACTTACTCCTGATACAGCATTAATATGTAAATGTGAGGCCTATCAAGCTCATGGAAACAACTATAATCACCTATTTCAGGACGTTGACAAAATGGGGGGTCTGTTGGGTACGGGAAGTCGGAACAGGCCCGGAATGCTGGTGTATATAGTGTACGCCATGTGATGATTTCGTTACGCTCGTAGCTCGTGCTCGTGATTGTGAAGACATATTAACTTTATCAGCTGCTACTCTTCTCTGCTATAATAACAGTAAAGCAAAAACTGCAAATTGTATATCCAACTGCCATAAACGTTTTAACCATATTAGGATTTTTTACAAAATAATAAAAGAATTGTCGCTTGGCTAATAATTTTAGGAAATCAAAATTTACTGGTGTGTATGGCAGGTTTCTTATTTTAAGGATTTCTGAGAGCTTAAGACGTTATGAATTAAAATGAAATGCAGTATAAATTACGTATAACGGAGGACTTAAGTTTTTTTTTTCACAAAACTAATTTAAGCATTTTATTCTAAAGTTTACAAACAAATTAACGTCATACATACCAAAACAATTTTTTTTTTATAAATTTGTATAGTTTAAAAATTTTTAGATTTGTAAACCTAATAGGGTCAGGTTCATACGTAAGCAACGTACGCAACGAGTTAGTGCGCTCCTGTTATGCTCCTGATAGGTACTCCTTCATCTATTAATTTTGATACAAATTAACGTCATACATACCAAAACTATTTTTTTTTTTTTGTATAGTTTAAAGATTGTATAGGGTCAGGTTCATAAAACGTAAACGCAACGGTTAGTTATGCTCCTTAGGTAACAATCTATTAATTTTGATACTGATAACGTTTCATTTAGTTAGTATCCAATCAGTTTATTTTTATAGTACGCTATTCGATTCACTTATCGCAGCATATTTAATAACGAGAACAGGCTTTTTATTGAACATTACACACAATAATTTGGGGAATTGCTAGTAAATATATAATACAAACAGTAATATTAAATATCCCATGAAAGCATTCGAAAAGTCTGAAACTTAAGTTTAAAATCAATGCGCTAAATCCGTAAAAATTATTTCATTTAATAATGTATAGTATTATCCTAAATAATATAAGAAATTATTATGAGAGCCACAGACTTTTTTTGATAATAAACAACGTACCTATATGAATCCTAGTCCTAATTTTTACTTATTAATCGATAAAATGCATTTTTGCTTCCATAACCTTTATCGAGCAAAATAATAGTCAGTTATTTGCGGTGACCCGTAAGCCTCGATACACCCGCGGAGCTCCGATGGCGGCGGCGCGGCGGTTCACTCACCCGTGTGCTTTTCCATACGCTTTGTGTATGGAATTGTATGGGAGGAGTGGAGACGATTAGACGCCGCACCCATTACTACTGCGACGGTCTACGCCAGACGTGACGGCGGTGAGCCGGGGCATCGTTTTATGACTTACATTTACGTTAGCGAGTTCTCTAATCAGACAGTGCATTTCGTAAAACTGTTATCACTTTAATTCAGATACGTCTATATCTTTAATCAACAAAAACTATTTCGCGGAATTCCAGTCGTGAGAAAGTTAGAGGTGGAATTAGTAATAATCGTTAAAAACCAGTCCATAGTTTGAAAGCAGTATATTAAAATGTTATAAATACTTATTTATAACAATTTGATCACACACAATATTTATATTTTGGCCGGTAATAAGCCTTGTAAGTACAATGGTTCCCATAGTGTGAAAATTAATTAAATACTTAGCTACATTAAACTAAGATAGTACATCAGACTATTTCGAAATAAAGCGGAATACCTCGGCTAATGTGTTGCATATCACGAATAATTAATATCAACAATAAACACAGATTTAGGTTGTTAAACCGTAAAATTCATTGAAATTATTTAGTTTTTTACTACACATGACAAGAATTTTCATTTAGTATTCTGCACCACAAAAATTCTAAATATTCCAAAAGTGCGACCCATTTTCTGAGCGATCTGCTCTATCATCTTCAGCGGAGTTGGAGAGAAACGATAGTTTAGATAATAATATTAACCTCAAATAATAAGTCAGGAGAAAATTATTTGCAACTGACAGAAGAAACAGCAACAAAGCAAAAACCAAGGAAAACCCTGAAAACAACAGCATAATAATAATTAAATAAAACGAAAGTAAGTAAATTTCATACAATAAAAAGACAATTTGAAGTTAATAACGCAGTGTGATATTGCTATATGTTGTGTGTATACCTATAGGGTTTGATAAACTACGAACACAATTCTAGTAAAAATTCATTTTGTCAAAAGATTCATGACATTTGTATAGCGTACACGATCTTGAGAATTTTAAGTAGGAAAAGGCACGAACAGCATCTTAATTCTAGAAATGATGAATTTACGCATTAATTAATGTAATAATAGTACCCAAAAATAGACAAAAGCGTATTAATATTTTCGTTGCGATTATATAAGAGACAGAGTCAAATAACGACCATAGATTGCTCGAAAAGCACCGCTACGAATATATTCCGTAGCAGCGGCAAGGGTAACGGTTTCTTTTAATATCCGAAGTATACGTGTTTCCGAGATGTCTGAAACCTTTAGCGCTGCCGGTGTAATGTCAGTTGCGGGTAGTGTTGGGCGCGAGGACGGGCGCTGCGGCGCCGGGCGGGGCGCCATGCACCTAAGAATTTGTAGTACTGTTCTCGGCACCGATACTGCTGCGGATGAAGCGGGACGGCGCGGCGCTACACTCACACACGCCCACCGATAGGTGCGTCCCGCACCCTCTACCGCTGCGAATAGATCTGTCGCTGTGTGCGTGGCGACCACCGCAGCTCCCGCCTATTCGCAGAAGCGCGGCCCGCGAGGTCGGCTACCCTTGGCGCGTCCTATTATTCGTAGCTCTCTGGGCGGTGGGTATCGACGAGGGTGCGCGCGCAGCGTCTCGCCCCCCAGGTTCGATTTTCCCGTCCGGGCGACGGTGGCGGCGCGTTGCATAACTTGGTGGCGGCACTCCGCGCGCGACCCCGCCACGAGCGCACGCCGCGAGCGCGCCCAACGCGCAAACACGCGCAACGACGCGCCCTTTACGTAACGCGCGAGCCGCGCGAGCTCGTGCCCCACCAGCGCCGGAACGGATAAGGTTTGCTGTGATACGTTATAAGTGTGCTTCGTCTTGGCTTCCGTCGCTTCTGGCTTGTCGCGGGGACCCCGCTGGGCTGGTAGGTGTCGCTGCGGTGCGCGCGGCCGCCCTTTGTCCGCGGCGGCGGCGGTGACGGCATCGCACGCTGAATAATTGACGGAGGCAGGCTAGCTATCGACCTGGTCGCGTGACTCGCGCGTATTAGCCCCGGCAAGGACGCCGCGCCGGCTGCGGCTCTGCGCCACTCCGCCGCCGCCGCCGCCGCCACCGTGGGCATTTCGCGCGCCTTCCCACACTTTAATGTTCGTTTTATCGATCCCTCTCACAATAACAGTTGTTCCACGTTGTGCGAGTGCCTTTATGTACTATAAAGGTACCTTTGTTATTTGTTATCGATCGGGACATGACACTTCATTATATGATTTTATAAGAATTTCGTAAAGCGGTAAAATCTCAAACTGCATGTAAGAAATTTGCTGAAAGGTCATTTAAGAACATAAAAAAGATGATTCTCGGTATATTGGGGTTATATAAGATATATGGCTTTGCGAGCACTATTTATTCTCATTTAGGTCGGTATTACGTAAATGTTACTGAAAACCATTCAACTTGCTTCAGTGATCTATTTTTTGTTACATAAGCGTTATACGATACCTTCACATTAATGCGATCAGACTGAGTATTTACTCACGCTTTACGGTTGTGTATTAGGAATGTGTGACTTGGAAAGATATTCTATATTCTCTCTATATCTCAGATATTTCCTAACATTTTTTGAATATGTTGACATGTATGGAATTCGAGAGAAGGATTCGTTCTTCGCCATTTCGCATTTGAAATGCGTGAAGCCAGCTTGATTAATATCTTGATAAATAGACCAAACGTTGCTTCACATACTGCTTTCATGTATCTCAAAATTTATGTGGTGTTTGAGGAATATTGTTCTGACAGGAAAAAGACGTTGTGTAAAGGATCGTTTAATACTATTTGGCCCTTTGCCTTTGGCCGTTTGAAAAGTCTGGTTTTCTATGAGAAACTATATTTTTAGTGCTAGTCTCTGCACTCAAGATGTTACTTATATGTGAATTTGTAAAAAAACCAAATTAAGAGTCGATGGCAACCGTTGGATGCAAATTGGGAGGTGCCGTTTATTAACTGTGGCTTTCTACAGCGAAAGGCTTTGTTCAACAGTGAACATCTTTCAGCTGACTTTGACGATGATGATCACATTATTAATTTAATCTTGATACACCAATTACGGTATGGGCACATGAAACATGGCTAGAGAAGGGATGAAAGTCACAGTGACTTCAAGAATTTAACTATGAATTTGGTTTTGGATGGACTGTGTGAAGAAGGATACGTTTGTGAAATAGGTGAGTATTAAGACGACAGTTGATACATGAAAGTAGAAGGGATGGACATGTATCTACAAACTTAACTAAGCAACTAAAGTAAAGCTCTGGTCATAGATACGAGAAGTATGAGTAAAAGTGAAGCCGCTAGCGTATATTTTGAGTTTGGCCAAATATTTGGTGCAGACAAAAAAGTTTCGATTATGTTTACCGATTCACTGTAAAACCCCTAAGAATGTTATGTTCAATGATAGAAGATAGATTTGAATGAAAGAGAAAGAAAACTAAGATGACGATAAAGATAAAAATCAAAGGCACATTAACGTGGCTACTAAACTTAATAAAATTATGTTTAATTCCGTTTAAAATAAAAACTGGCTACTGAGCACGTTTTGTAAATTTTGCTTTAAAACGGTTATAAGAGAAGAAGGAACTATTGCATAATTTGCTCTTTGTTTTTAATGACTTCAACTTACGTATTACGAGCGCTAAATGAGTTAAACCGTGTTGACTGTGATAAGGAAATATCTCATTTGAAGTGAAAATAGCTCTAAATTGTAGTTGACTCATAAATTACGCTAGCAAAAAATATGTCATTGTGGACCATGAATCATTTTTTTGGTTACGTGATAGACAACCAAAAAATTGACTGTTTTAACTTGATTATTAATGTTTTTACTTGCGTAATTATTTATTAGTGTAATATTTTGTTTTTCTTTTGAACTATGATACAAATATCGGATATATATGTTAACATAATAGAGTTTTTACTCTTGGGTAGGAGTTTGATACTAAAGGCCGGTTTCAATGTTCTATATCTTACTTCCTTACTAATATTATAAAGGCGAAAATTTGTATATATGAATGGATATTTGTTACTCTTTCATACAAAAACTAGTGAATAGATTTTAATGAAACTTTACAATAGTGTAGTTTAAACATCAGAATAATACATAGGCAATAATATAAAAAGATATTGTGTGAATTGTACAAAATAAAGCTAATGATAAGTCGACTAAGTAGTGTATAAAAAAAGCCCATTGTGAATTCCCTTTGGCCGCGCGGGTGAAGCCGCGGATAACAGCTACTCCAGATATATTTGGTTACTGGAGATAGGATTGTGACGTAAGTATTATGGAGCTAATGTCGAGTACCTATCGCTAGTAGCCAAATCTATCTGTAGATAGAATATTGAAACCGGGTGTGTGTGATCAACCGTTTCTATTTCACCTTCCTTCTATTACGTCATCAGTGGAAGTCGTAACCAATTTGGATAACGTTTAGGAACAATAGTTTTATATATTTGAGTAGTCGGCTCAACGCCTAAACATTTATAAGGCGCAAATTCGGCATAGCCTCTAACTGCTCTCACCTCTGGGTGGGAGCCCCCTGTTACCAGCTTCTTCCATTTGACCGCATCCAACGTAGGGCAGCTAGGGTTATCGACGATCAAGGTCTTTCCGATCAGCTTGAACCTTTGGCTTTGCGTAGAGACGTTGGGTCACTCTGCATCTTCTACCGCATCTATCACGGGGAGTGTTCCGAGGAACTGTTTGGATTGATCCCAGCGGCTGAATTTCACCATCGGACATCGCGCCAAAACCAAAAATTTCATCCACACCACCTCGATGTCCAGCGTTCCACAACAGCGCGATTTTCAAGGCATTTCCTGCCTCGCACAACCACTCTGTGGAACCAGCTGCCGCCGGCGGTCTTTCCGAACCGTTACGACCTGGGAACCTTCAAGAAGAGAGCGTACTCATTCCTAAAAGGCCGGCAACGCATTTGTAAGCCCTCGGGTGTTGCAGATGTCCATGGGCGGCGGTGATCACTTACCATCAGGTGAGCCTCCTGCTCGTTTGCTGCTTTTTTTTCCCATAAAAAAATAGTATGACTAAAATTTTGCTATAAAAGTTGAGGGGAAATTTTTATTACGGCCTCATATAAACGCCTTCTAATGTTCGTAATTTTCATATGATTGATCACACTTTTCATTTCGATTTGATCGAACATCACTTTTCATTTACATCTGTAATCCTAAAGACGCCAACCGTTTTACTGTCCTTTATAAACTCATTGAAGTTTATTTGTCATATAATTACTCTATTAATTTAAGTACATTAATTTCTAACTAATCACATTAACATATTCCTGAGATGAATGAACTATTTGCATAAATAATTGAGGTTGTACATAACCCTCAAAGCGCGAGTTCTATTCGCGCTTGACGTGGTTTCCATCTACATAATTGCTTTATAAGACCTTCACTTATTATTTTATCTGATAATTTTACTATCACGGTTATAGATGTAAGTTATTCGAAAGCTTCCTATGCCAAGAAAACTTATGTAACCAATTTCACTTGCGTAACAAAAAGAATGATACAAACGGTTTTAAGAATCTTTGTAAGTGTTAGCATTGTTTCATTTATTACTTACCCAAAAGTAAATGATGATATTTGAGTTTTATACTACGTTATAAGATTTTGATGTAAAGGGTTTAAAAATTAACTGACTGTTTTGAAGATACTCGTATGAACGCTGTAAAGGGTTCGAAACTTTGGGAATTCAATTTAATCGCGATAACATCCGTAAAATAATTTCATTTAATCATGTATAATATTCGCGTAAAAAGAATTCAATATGAGAATTTCCATATACTATACAAAAAAAATCTGTGCACTTGGGGACTGCAGCGATAAAGCTATTGCAAAGTATCTTTTATCAACTTATGCAATTATAATTATTTATGCAGTATTTTTTTTTCTTTGATATTAATAAATAATAATGTAATTATTAATGTATATTATAATTAATTACATATATTATTTACAAAAATGATAAGAACTACTAGAGCAATTACAAAGCTGTTTGGATAGTTAAATTACAATATACTAACATTTTTAAACTTGTGATATCTTTCGAATGGAGTGTCCGAATTTAATACAGTAGAACCTCAACTCGAACACCAAGGTAGACGCCAAAAATTTCGAGTAATAGAATTTTCGACTTATAGAGAATTTCGACTTAGGCGGATTGCCCAGTCAGATAATAGCTACCGATCGAGCCGAGGTCCGGCCCTCTCGGGCACCCTCGAATCGGAATGCTAAACGCGTGCTGAGTGACAGCCCAAGCCGAGGTCCCCTCTCGGGGACCCTTGAGCCTGATCACTCCATGGAGCGCCCGCCAAAGCGCCCTAAGAGCTTGGCGGCCTCCCAAACCGGTAACAATAATAGCGTGACGGCCCGAGCCGAGGCTCCCCTGGGAGCCCTCGAGCTTAGTCACCATAACGCGTAATAATAGTACGCCGAGGTTCAGGCTAGGCGCCTCGAGCGCCCGGCCACCTCAAGTCCGTCGGATCTGTGAAGGCCCCTAAAGCCAACAGTGGCTCATCCAGCCAAAAAAAAAATAGGCGGATTTTGATTCAAAATAAAGAGGTTGGATTCATTCTTATGAATTTTGAGTTAGAGAGGTAAAATAAATAAAAATTTAAATTGTCTATCTTTCTAATATAAAGATATTGAAACAGACTTAAATATGAAGTATTTATTTTTATAAGAATTAATACCAAGATACAAATAGCCTTTTCTAGCGCCGGCATTTCATTCAAAATTTTAAAATAAAAGAACACTTATTGTGGCATAACTAACATAATAGTTAGATATATGCTTGCGACACCTTTTGTAAATAATGATATGTTTTGCAATTCATAGTACATTATTTTATTCTATCATCAATAGTTTTTGCAGCGCACGCGATATAAAGAATAATTTAGGTAATTTTTGTACATTATTAAAGTTTTAGTAAGGATCCCTAGTTTTTGAAAATTTAATATAGTCTTTGTCATCGGGGGATAACGTAGCTTCCCAACACTGAAAGAATTTTTCAAATCGGTTCAGTAGTTTCGGAGCCTATTGCATGCA